CCCTGAAGGGCTTGAGAGCTGCATCTCCTTGGCACTGATGTCAGGGCTGGGTTTCTGCCCATCTTGGTAAACATGGAAAAGGTTTTCATGTGGCATTTAGGTGCTGTTTGCACCACTTTTTTGGAGGGCTCTGATTTAGGAAGGATTAAAAAGTATTACAGGTGTAAAAAATATTACAAAAATCCAATAAGAATTAGATAAAAAATTACTAAAATCAAAGTCTTGCCTGCACAGGGGCAGCTGCTGCAGAAAACAGAGAAGCTGTGAGGGTACTTTGGATGTGTTTCAGTTGAGGCTGGCCTGGATGACGCCACACATCCCTACTTGAGGGCCACTCTTCTGAATTCCTGGCATCCAGGAAGCACTCAGCTTAAATGCAGACATGGCTCACATCCTCCCCCTGCTTCTCCCTTTGCAGAATTGCCACTTGTGCAGAAATATCTGCCACCACCATGGCTGTGGTGTTTCCTTCTGAGAAACCAGCCCAGTGCTCATCACTTACACCTTTCTCATCCAGCACAGCACTGTGCCTGCTGCCTTGCCCATTCACACACCCTCCCGAAATCCATCCAGCTGATGCTTCTGGAGCTCCTGCTTCTTTCCAGGGCAGGCAGGAGGTAGACACCTGCCCTGTGGCCACAAATCAGGGGCAGGATCTGGCTCATCTTGCTCTGTCTGTTGCATATGTCCAAGGATAATTTTCTTCTTGTACCAATTTCATTAAGCACTGCCAGGAATGCTGCTGGATTCCTCCAGTGCTGGAAGTGCAGCAGCTGAATGCTCCAGCTCCATCTTTTCTGGGGAAAGTTTCTTTCACTTCTCTTGTTTTTTCCCAGTTCTAAAAAGCAGGATCATTTTGTTCTCAGGAACTTTAGAAAGATTTTCAGATGTCTTTTATGCCTTCATAGCAGTTTGCATAGGTGACCAGTCATCTCTCTGCTAAGTTGCTGCCTTTCCCACCATTTTTTCTAAGAGACTCCTGCCACAACCCAGCAAAACCAGTTCTTGGTTGTGTTCCTTCTAATGAGTCTCTGAAAGGAAATTGAGAACTCTGGAAGGGTTAAAGAAAAGCAGTTTTAAGGTCATCTCCTCTTCCACTGCTGTGACAGCAAGGCACCCATTCTTTCTATAGAATTTTGGGAATAGCTCATGGAAATTGTCCCTGGCCTCTCTGTGATGCTGGTGTACAGGGAGTTAAACTTCCCACTCATCTCTTGCACTTCACAAAACTTTTCGACCTATCTCAGAGGAAAAACCCAAGATTTTCAAAGAGAGATGTGTAGCTTGAATGAAAGACTTTAAAAAAAATATTTACTATTTTGGTAACAGCTATATAAAATGCTGATGTGATTTGAAAGCTCCAAATTACAACATTATCACACAACCACATCTCTTTTCTTCTGCCCTCTTCCTTCCTCCTCGCCTCGCCACATATCCCCTTCCCCTTTTGCTTCCCGACTTCACTGAATTTGTTTAGGGCAAAGCTCCCATCCCACCAACACCTGAGGGCACAGGGTGCTCCTGTGGCCATCCTGGGTGAGTTACTTGCCCAGCCAAGTGTGAAATTTGAAGGATTTGAGTGCAAGCATAGAGCAGGGAGACCATGATTGTTTTTCCTTGGCACGGCGTGAGGCGTTTTTGCTGATGAGAGAGGCAGCAAAAATAGCATGGGGAAAATATAGCCCCAAGAAAGAAATATGTAAATGTCTGAGTACGCTAAAATCCCCCCTGCTTAGTCAGGGGCCTGGGCTCTGCTTTCATTCTGGGCTTTTTTTTTTTGTGGCTGAGGGGTAAATGCTCAAGGGAGTGAAGGGTCATGTGGGGGAGATGTGTGGGGAATCCAAACGTTGCACTGCGTCCCAATGGCTGGTTTCAGTCAAAAATATTGATCACGGAGCTTCTGGGCTGTCTGTGGGGAGCATCTGAGAAATGACATCACCTCTGTGTGTCTCTGCTGGCCGGGTGTGACTGCTGAGGTGTGAACTCTGTGCCCATATCAGGGCGTGACCCTCCCTGATAAATAGGGCTGTTTGTGCTCCTGCAGATCATCTGTGGGGCTGAGCCTTCCCTGAGGATGGCAGCCCCCCTGCTCCCCTGGCTGCTGCTGCTGCTGCTGCTGGTGTCCCACTCTGCCCACACAGGTGAGCTCCCAGTGCCTTTGCTGGCATCATCCTGCACCCAGAGCCATTGGGGAGCTTGGGATCCTCCTGCCTGTTTGGTGAGGGCTTGCCTTGTTGTTTGCCAGGGAAAAAGCAGCACCATCCTTTGCAGGGCTCTGGTTCAGCTTTTGGGAGCAGTGTGGGAGCAGGGAACCGAGCAGGTGCAGGTGGCAGCCTTGCACTTGTGGTCCCTGCAGTGAAAACATGGGAAGGAGAACTTTCTTTGGCTCCTGGAGTCGCTGCATCCCTGTCAGCCTGTCTGTGCCTGTAGCTGCCACCTTCTCTGTCTCTCAGCCATCCTGGAGGTGAACGGGAACCTGAGCTGTAGGTGTGCCAAGACAACCTTGGAATACATCAGTCCCAAGAAGTACGAGAGCATTGAGATAAGGCCCGTGGGCAGCAGCTGCAGGCGCACGGAGATCATGTAAGTGCTGGGGGCTCCTCTGCTGCCACCATCCTGCTTCTGGAATCTAAACCTTTCCAAAAGCGCCACCTGCTTCCTCGCTGAAAAACGTCAGAGGCAGAAATGCAGATCCCCAGGGCTTAAAGGAATCTCTCTCCAGCAGGGGAAAGTGTGGTTTCCTCGAGCTGGAGCAGGGGTGTTTGCAGCCTGGAGGATGCACTTCCTCAGACACTGAGGCACCATAAGCCATAACAAGTTTTCCCAGATTTTTCTAGCTGCTTGGTGTTGATACATTTGTAAATCTACAGAAAAAATTCTTTGAGCAATGTTCTGGGCTTCAAGTGTTTGCTCCACCTAGGAATGTGTTGCGTCTTGCTTGTTCCCAGCCATGCTGTGGCTTTCTCTGTCTCTGGCAGCTTTCTACAATTGTTGGTGCTGTGAGCAAAATCTGACTCTTCCCCATCAGCTCTGGCTGCTTGAATCCCTGCTTTTGGAGGGGACAGGAATGCTCAGGAACTCTCCTTGCATTTCAGCATTAAGTTAAGAACCTCAGGGAAGGTGTGTGTGAATCCCGAAGCCCCCTGGGTGAAGAAGCTGCTGAAGCGCATTGCCAGCACGTAAGTTGTTGGATGGAAACTCCTTTGGCTCAGGTGTCTCTGGACAGCATCCCAGTACATCCATAGGTCTGGGAAGCTCTCGCGGGCCCAGGAGCTCTGGGAGAGCTGCTACTGTCCAGCTGAAACTTCCAAAGCAATGAGGGGCAACACTTTACTGTGCAAAGCAGTGTTCAGCCCAACAAGACCCATCTGTAGGTCATGCTACCCCTGGCTTACACACTGCAAGTGCTGCACTTAGATTTGGGGGAGCAGCATGAGGGGAGCAGTGGCAGGAGCAGGGTTTGCTCGTGGCAGGTGCAGCAGTGTGATGATGCTGGGAAAGCTGCCCTGCTGTGTGGTGCCTGTGCTGGGTTTGTGGCCATCCTGGCGAGCAATGCCTGCCCCGGGGAAACAGCAGCGACTTCCCTCGGCTGGGGCAGGAGCTTCCTCTCCCAGACCCCATTTTCTCTGTGTTCACACGTTTCTCCTTGTTCTGCTTTTCACAGGAAGAAAAAATAGGTTTCCTGCTAAGGAAGTTGGTGCCCAGAGCCCTGAGACAGGTTGGCAGATGATGCCCAGGTGTGCAGACCTGGCTGCTCCTCACTTCGCCCTGTCTTCCTCCCCTTCCCAAAAGCCCCACATCTGGCTCTGGTGGCAGTGGCTGTGGGGATGGTGCCTCACTGCTGGCCCCAGCCCTGTGGCAGGTTTGGAGGGGGGATTCTTCCCTGCTTTTGGTCCCTGGATCAGCATGAATATGAATCCTTCATTTATTTAGTTGTCTGTGGACTGTGAAACTGTTCCCTGTCAGGGGCTGCTCCTGCTTCTTTAGGAATGACTTTGTGACTTCCTCCATGTGAAGTACTCGGCAACGGAGTGTGTGTCTGAGGGTTGTGTGGCACAGCGTGGCATGTCCTGTCCCGGAAGCTCAAGTCCAATAAAATGCAGGATTTTTCTTTCTCTTGTATTTTCCCTGGATCTCCTAGCTTTGAAGCCATGTATGACATAGAATCATAGCACAGCTTGGATTAGAAGTAACCTCAAAGCCCATCCAGTCCCACCTCCTGCCATGGACAGGGCCATCTTCCACTATCACAGGTTGTTTCAGGTCCTGTCCAACCTGGTGTTAGACATTTCCAGGGATCCAGGGGCAGCCACAGCTTGTCTGGGCACCCTGTGCCAGGGCCTCCCACCCTCACAGGGAAGATTTTCCCCCACTATCCCATCTAACCCTGCCCTCTGGCATTATGAAGCTATCCCATCTTGTCAGGGGGCCCTCCCATCATAACCTGTTATCTCCCCTGGTGGTGATTTGAGGGCACAATGTTGGTAGTAGGGTGATGGGACAATCCAGCCGAAGTGCCCCACATCCAAATGATGGAGCTGGGATTTATAGGTGGCTGTTTTAAAAACCAGTCCAGGCCAATAAAGAAATATGTCAGGAGTGGGAGTGAGGTGTCTTGGCAGAGTTTTGGGGTAAAAAAAATTAAAAGCAAATGTCACCAGGGCACTGCTGAATTGTGCCTTATAGGGGGACAAGATGGCTGTAGGAGAAATGAGTAATACCTGATTGTGCAGGATAGAAAAGCACTCCAGAAAGCCTCCAGGCTGATGGGGCTGTGTGTGCTAAGAACAAAATTGGAGGAAACGACCAAGAAAGGAAGGGGAAAGCAGAGCCAGTTTCGGGAAGCCAGGCCCCCTGCCAAGCCCCAAGCCACTTTTATCGGCAGTTGCAAACTCAGCGACCGCTGTCAGTAGCGACCCTGGGGCCTCCCGTGCCCTTTTACTTCTCCTATTTCCCAGCTCAAATAGAGGGATGCTGCGGGGCCCAGGGCTGGGGCCGGCATGGCTGTGTGGGCAGCCCTTCTGCTGGCTGTGCTGCTGCTGTCCCACCGCCCTGGGGACACAGGTGAGCCTCCCCTGCCCCCACGGGTGGCCCTGGGCGTTGTGGGGGCTGTGAGGCTGTCCGAGTTTGGGGTGGGTGATGCTGGTGGCACATGGCAGGAGATGCATTGCCCAGGGAGGCTTTTGGGGTTTTGTGTGAGCCATGGCCGTGTGCCCCTCCAGCAATCCTGGAAGCCAACAGCAACCTGAGCTGCCGCTGCCTCAGGAGCACTCGAGCCTTCATCCCTCCTGAGAGTTACAGCAGCATTGAGGTGTGGCCCGTGGGGAGCAGCTGCCGGCGCCCCGAGGTGGTGTAAGTGCTCCCAGAGCTGTGTGCCCTCTGCCCTGCCTGTCCTCCCTGACCTGCTGTGGTTTGGTGCTCATTGTCCTTGTGACAGGGGTGGGAGGCTTGGCTGTCTGCAGGAGGGGAAGTGTCGTGTCTGAAAGGCCGTGTGTTTTCTAGGATTAAGCTCAAGAGCCTGAAGAGGGTCTGTGTGGATCCTGACACGCCGTGGATGAGGAAACTCTTGCAGGACCTCCCTCACCTGTAAGCTCCCCTTTCCCCCTAAGCACCAGGGGCATCCCGTGGGAACCTGTCTTCACACATTGCTCCCCCTTCTGCTTTTGGCAGGAGGAAGAAAAAGGCTCCCCGCTGAGGAAGCTGCCACGAGAGGCATGGCCAGATGTGCTGGGCTCAAAACTGCCTCCCTTCCCCATCCTGCTGTTGCCTTACCCCAGTTCTGAGGGAAGCATGCCGCTGCCTGAGCCCCTTTTAATGCCTTTAAACCCTTAAAAATGCCCATCCCTGCTTCCAGCCTCTCCCATCCTGTAGCCATGCGCTGGGAGTTCCTTTTGGGCACGACCCAGCAGGCCCAATAAAGGTGGCAGCCCTCTGTCACTGTCCCTTGCCTCCCTTCGCATGGCATGCCAGGGGTTGGGGTGCTCGGGGTGGGAGGCACGGGGGGCAGCAGCCTTTGGCCAAAACCACGGCAGGTTTGAGGAGGTGGCCGCGGCATTTTCTGCTTTTTGTGGCAGGGAGGCAGCATGGGCCACGTGTAGCAGGGGGAAGCGACGGCAGGGAAGTTGAGGCATGGAGCTGTCCCTTTGTCCTCCCCCTCCTCTGGCCTTCCCAGCCCCAGAGGGGGTTGTGAAATCCCCCCTGGGGCGAGGGGCTGGCTATAAAGCAGCCCTGGCACAGCTCGGGGTGGGCAGTGAGGATGCGGCTGCTCCCAGCCCTGGCTCTGGCCCTGCTCCTGCTCCTGAGCAGCTCGGTGCCAGTGGGCGGTGAGTCCCTTTGGGTGTCTGTCCATCCATGGCCCCTCCAAACGCCTGGACAGGGGAACTGGGTGTCCCAGATGGGGCTGAGCGTGGGTTTTATCTACTAAGCTTTCAGTTTTGGTTCTTGCCTATCTTTGAGATTGTCTTTTAAACCCTGTGGCTAAGCTGGAGGGGGGTACTGGGGGTGGAGAAGGGGGGTTTGCCTTCTGGGTTTAAACTGCTTCTCTTTCAGACCCCCACAAAATTCGAGTGCTTGGTGGGTGGGCAGTGGGTTTATTTCATAAAATGCTGGCTAAGTTTTCCAACCCTGCAGCTAAACCCCTTCCATATACAGGACAAGAAGCTCTGAGGCTGTGCTGGGAGGGATTAGCCCTGCTGGGTGTCAGGGATGGGATGGGATGGGAAACTGGGGAAGGGGGATAGTGTCCCCACATGCCTCCCCCTCGGGGGGCCGAGACCTGGTGTGGGCTGCCCTGGGGCACAGGTCTGTCGCTGGAGAGCCTGCTGACCAACATGAGGTGCAAGTGCATCAAATCCACCGCCCACGTCATCAACCTGGGGCTGATCCTCACCATCCACGTTACCCCGCCGGGCATTTACTGCAGGAGGAAGGAGGTCATGTAAGTGCAAAGCCTGGGAACCAATCCCTGCCAATTGCTCCTTTGTGTACTGGTGCAGAAGTATGTGGAGGGAGGAAGCCCATAAATGTTGGGTTGACTCTTGGTCCCAATTTCAAGGGTGTCCCTCCCTGCGTGGCTCAGGGTCATCAGGTCAAGGCCCCAAAATGTTCATGCCGAGGGAGCAGGGGGTTTTCTCTGTGGGTTAGAAAAGCTTTGGGGAAAGGACATGCCTGGGGCTGAGGGGCCTCATGGCCTTGCAGCCTCACCCTGAAGAAGAACAGGCAGGTGTGCGTGACCCCTGAGGCGCCCTGGATCCAGCTGCTCATCCACAAGCTGATGCAGAGGTAGGCGATGCCCAGAGGCTGGAAAACACATACCCAACACCTTTGCAGGACTATCCCTTTCCCCTGACCCTCCTGGTTTCCTTTCTTTCCCTCCACAAAATCTCCAGGAATGGCATCAAAAAAGCACTGCCACGGCTGCGGCGTGAGGCACCATGCTGCCGGACCCCTTGGAGACCCCCCACTCCATCCCTCCCACTGGCCACATCCCAGGAATCCATGGTTATGAATCCCTCGTGGGACAGGAATGACACAGCCCCCCTGCCCTGAGGCACACTGGGTTGAGTGCCACAACGCTGGCCCTCCTCTGCTCCTGGGTTTTGGCAGAGCAGGAGCCTTTCCCTGCTTTCCCCTCAGGCACCCTCTGCTTCCTTCCCTTTCGGGTGCCTGTGCTGTTCTCGCACAAAATCACAGCCCATCCCAGTGGCAGCAATAAAAGGATGAATGTGCTCCCTCTCCCTGGCTGTGGTGGCTCTTTCTGCCTGGATTTGGGTATAAATTGGGATTTTTGGGGTGAGGAGTTAGGCTGGACTATGGCGCTGTGAAGCCTTTGGCTGCCTTGCTGAGGACACTTCCTCTGCTCCAGGAGTTGGTGCCTTTTCCTGACAGCTCCTGGCAGGAGCAGGTAATTGCAGGAGTTGGATAGGGTCTGCTGCTGGCTCCTGGCTGTGGAAACACAGCAGTGGGAAATTTCCCAGTGACTGGCTGAGGCTTTCTGTGGAGTCCCATTTCCCAGCCTGGCACAGCAATCAGTGTGCCTTGGCCACACACACAGAGGTGACACAGGTGTGACTTGTGACCTGTGCAGAATTATCCCTGTTTGCAATCTGGCTTGGCCATTCTGGGAGGAGGTGTGTAAGGTCTGCAAGAATCAAGTTTGTGTTGCCCACCCACCCCCACTTGATGCCAGTAATGTGTCCCTGGGCAGTGGCAAGCTGGGAAACACCCACCCAGGCTCTGTATCCCCCTTCTTCCTGCCCTGTGCTTCTCAGGAACCACAGTAGGGATAAGAATGGTTGCAAAAGGGCTGTTTGTTGACTCCAGAAGGATGTGGAAGTTCACAGGTGGGAAGAAACCGGTGGATGTTTAGCCTTATCCAATGTGAGTGAGCAAAATCCCATCTGCACAGTGAGCAAATAAAAAAAAAAGTAATTTTTAAAGGGAAGAAAAATGTAGCAGTTCAGGGGTTTGATGACCTCCCTTTCCCCAGCTGCCCAAAGGTCCAGGGCAAGCAGTGTTTCCTCCTGCCAGAGCCCCCCAGGCCCTCAAAGCTGCTGAAGCAAAGCTGCTATTCCCATGAGGCAGGGCGTAAATCCCCCCAGAACTGTAGTGTGTAAGCATGCCCGGGAGTGACCCTGCAGCTGCCCCTGCTCCATGTGCACTTCCACCTTTTCAGGGACGGGACCTCCCGCCTGCAAAGGCAGCACACAAGAAAAAAATCTGACTTAAAACCACTGCAAGGTGGTGTGGGAGCCTCCAAAGAGGATGGATGGACCCCAAGCACTGGGATCACTCTCACCTTCAGCATTCCCACAGGGAGGGGTTGTGCCAAACCTGGATCTAGAGGTTTATGATCTCCACCTAAAATTATTTCTAATTGAAGTGAATTCTTGGCTGATGCTTGGCAGAGAGGATTAATATGTGAGTGGTTCCCACCAGGTTCTCTTGGGATCTGGGTCACCTTGGAACACCAAAGGGTGAGGGAGTGTGTGTGACCAAACTTGTGTAAGGCTCAATCTCCTTGCAGTGAAAGAAGGAAGCAGAAATATTCAGCTGCATTGTACAAAATTCTCTTTTTTTTATATATATATATATATGTATATGTATATACACACACAAACCCCCGTAATCGGACAGATTCACCAGATTGAGATTTTTTTAAAAAGTTGCTTGTAGAAGGGTGTTGGATTTTGTTTTCTCTGCTGGCTTTAGGCAGTGCTGTTGCTGGGGAGTGGACACCAGGCACCGTGTTTTGGGAAGTAAACGGAGGCAGTGAGCAGCAGGGAAGGGCTTGGAGCCTTTTTTCCAGGTATTGCCTGCAACATGCTGGGAACCGAGGCTGGGAAAAAAAGCACCATCCCCTCACTGCTCCTGCTGGGAAGGGAAAACCAGGAGGGAGCCACACAGGAGAGGCAGGCAAACATATGCATTGACTGAAACATGAACAAAACTCGGTTTTTTTGTGCAATGTCTGTTAAAAAACCATTTTTGTGTTAAAAACCATGCGGTGTGACGAGCGTTGGGAAGTGCAGCAGAGAAAATCCAGTGGAACACCTTGGTGCAACGGAACACTTCCATGGCTAGAAACCCAAGGGAAATCCAGCTGGAGCAGCTTACAACGTTTGCCAAGGTTTGGGTTTTCCCATCCCCATCCTCTCCCACCCCCACACTACAAAACATTGGTGCTGGGTTTGGATTTTTATTACTAAATGGGCTCCTCTGCAGTTCATAGACAGTCACGGGCGAATCAGAAATTCCATTTTGTACAAACAGCTCCAAAAATATTGGGAGTGAAGTATGGTTAGGAAACACTGCTCACGCTGGGACCACCGTGCCTGGAGGAACAGGGGGAGCAGAGCATCCCCCTCTCCCCAGAAAACATACAGCAGCTGAATACAGAAAGGTAATGTCCACAGAATTAAGTTTTTCATGCTATTCTACTTTCCAGTGCTCTCCAATCCATGTGCCATGGCCAGGTAGGGAATGCTGAGGTATATTTCAACAGAGATACCTGCAGCCAGAGGAAAATCCATCTCTGGAAAGGGATTTTTTTTCACCCTTTTTTTTTTTTTTTGTTTTGTTTAGTTTTGGTTTTGCACAAAGCAAGTGCTATGCAGGAGTTTCCCCCAGCTCCCATTGCTTCCAATTGATCCCAGGCCATAGATGACACCCCCATTTTTTAGGCACTTTTCCAAGGGAGTTGTCACTTTGCTGAACCCATTTTTGCCTTCTGGCCCACTCCACCCCCTCCCTGGCTCCTAGTCAGAGTCAGGGAACAGTTTCTCCTCTAAGTCCAATTGATTTTTTTTTCCCCCCTATGGAAAATTTCTTGTGTATAAAATGACAAAGGAAATGTTTAATTAAAGAGGAACAGCCTGACTTGGCAGTTTTGCAAGACAGAAGATGGCTCTTTTGTATTTAAAACTAATTTCACAATTCAAATTGGACTTTTTTTTGAAGTATACGAATGAGACATAAATATAGGCTTATCAATCTGCTTAAAAATTTCATTCACATCATGGAAAATGCTTTTCATTTATTAAAAATATCACATTTGGAGACTAGAAACAGTAAAGTGCATGAAAAGTTTCAAATAGAAATTCAAGAAAATCTTATAGCAGCAAAAAAGCAGAATAAAGAAAAACTTAAAAACACAGACACGACCTTTTCCTATCACTGTGCCTTTTTTTTTTAAACATTAAGCAGCCAAACAACTTGGTTTTTTTTGGTTTTTTTTTTTTTTTTTTTTCTCCAGAAAATTGCATCATGTTTAATGCCTCTTGAGGCACAAGGTTTTGAACTGGCCACCCAGAGCATTAAAAGGAAAGAAAACAAGGATTTCCAACACATCCAAAGAGCATTAACATTTGGGAAGGAACCAGCAGCTTTTTACTTCAGCCCTGATTGACAACAGCTCCCAAACAAATTGAAACCAGGAGGATATAGAGCTCAAATTTGATCACAGATACTTGGCTATCTTTGGTTTTCTGATAGTACTGAGATGAGGGGCAGGGCCATGCTGCCAATTGTTTATAGTCAGGTAATTAAGTGCTTTGCTAATGTGCAAAATTTATATTGGATGCAGAGTTGAGTCTCCATTTTGGATTGGAACAAACAGTATTTCTAACATTCTTCCTACAATACAAGCATCTCTAGTTTTGTTTTTCTTTCTCCTAAAAGGTTGGCTCAATTTGCCACGTTCTGGAAAAAAGCATTACCTTGAAATATGTTAAATGCAAGTTTTTTACATCTCTTTTGTCCATTTAGAAGTGCAGCTTCCTACTGAAAAGAAAAAGCCAGTTTAAAGTAAAATAAAAAAAAAACAAAACACAAACAAAAATTAAATTAAAAACCTGGAAAGGGGAATAATACTTTGGTTCCAGCCCTAGTGCCAAATGATACCGATATGCACCAAAATGTGCAAAAATCTCTTCTCAAACACATAAGGAAAGGAGCTCGAAGAAGCAGCTGAAGGTTGGCCATACTTCACTCCTATCTAGAGGGATTTACAAGTGTACAGGTCCGTGGGGCGGGTGGGAGCTGCACTCACTACCTGCGGGAGGGCAGGTGCACACCGTTCACCAGCGGCAGCAGCGGCGGCTGCAGCTCCAGCTGCGTCAGCAGCGAGAAGTGGTCCGAGGGGATGTGCGGGTGCGGGCACCCTGTGATGTTGTTGTCCACCAGCCACTGAGGGTCCAAAGGGCCCAGCACTCCCAGCACGTTCATGTGAGTGTTGGAGTAGAAAATGTAGTCAATCACACCCTGCGGAGAGAGGGAGGGAGAGAGCGTGGTGAGGGCAGGGCAGGGCGCACCCTCGTTAACCCCGGGGCAGCCGAGGTCAGGGAACTGAGCGGGGATCGGGGCTTACTTTGAAGTCGAAAGTGTAATTGGTGTAAGGCATCAGGTTGTTCTCGTAGGCGCTCTTGAGCTGGAAGCCGTGCGTGATCCTGCCCTCCGAGGCTCCGTTCTTGCCGTTGCCGCTGAAGTTCATCAGACACTCGTTGTAACGCAGCTCCTTGAAGTCCTTGTGGTTGTCAGCTACGATGCCATTGCTCAGGTATTCCACTACACCTGTGGGCAAGGGGAAGGGTTTAGGGAGCTGCTTTGAAAGACAGCTTTGGGATATTAAAAACCAGAAGGCCACCAAGGCACCATGAGTTCAGAGTTAGCAAAGCAACCTAAACCCCTCTCGTTAGAAAGCTTTAATCAGGAACTCACTTTCCTACTTCTTATTGCTGCTTCAGGCATGGGTATTTATGTAATGATTTATTTAAGATCTAACTGTGCCTTTCTACACTTTTGCAGGTGCACCCAGCTCTCCTGAAGTGTCTAGTTGAGCATGAAGAGCAGGCGACTCAGTCGGAGGACTCACAGTCTCTTCAGCCAGATTTCCAAAGGCAGCATTTCCTAGGAAAGCTTTCATCCATGCCTTCCCTGGGCAGTGCAAACAACCCCCTCACCTTCAGAGCAGAAAGCGGACCTGAATGTTCTAAGAAGGTAAGTTAAAAGTCAGGCCTAAAAGCCAGCCTTACCTGAGTCAGGCAGTGAGTTGAGATCCGCACACAGCACCAGAGGGATAGAGTTGGGATCTGCTGTTGGGCTACTGGGCCTGCTCGAGGCTTTCTCCAGGATGTTTTTCAGTTCTGAGACGAACATCATGGTCTGGATGAGTTTCACATCTGAGTATTCGGGGTCCCAGTGCATGTGGGCATTGGCCACAATGAGCAGCTGCTTGTCCACGTGAAGCGATTTCATACCTGGACAAACAATGTTAGCAGTAAGAGGTTCTGTGAGAGGTTCTGTGTTCCTGCTTCTCATACTCGGGGTGTAGCTCCTCAGGGCTCAGACACAGCAGCAGGTGGGTGTGTTTTTGTTGCTTAAACCTGCTGAAATGCCTGTAAACGGCCCAGGGAGCTCCTTCCAGCCTCCTCTGAAGCCATGAAAACCCCAGCCATGGAGACAGAGCAGGATGACAGAGCCATGGAGACCCAGCAGCTACCTGTGTTGGAATTGTCTGCTGCATCTGATCAAATTAATGAAAATGTGACAGTCAGTCAATCAAAAGAGAGGAAAAGATACCCGATAATCTCCCTCTTTCACATTAGCACTGACATCTAATCACTGGGGGAGGGTGGAAGGAGTCAATCCAGGGGAGGAAAAGAGAGTTGAAAATAGAAGTTGAACATTGTTGCCAACTACTGGTAAGAGCAAATGTGTGTAAACACAGTGACCTTGGGAAAGCTGAGCTGCTCAAGCAGAAAGTAACAGAGTAAGTAAGCAGGGATAGAAGCCTGAAAAGAGAAAAGCAAATGCTGGGCATCTTGCTGTGAGCACAACAGACCATGTCATCTCTGCCTGTCTGAGCCACCCATGGGTTGTGTTTGGCTGCACTACCAATGGGAACAGCATGGATTACCTAGGAATAACTCGTGCCTGTCTCTGGAGCTGAGTAGCAGTGAGGACACCACAGTCATACTCACTTGCTCCAAATAATTCCTTGTGCACCTCCAACACCACGGCAACCCCGATGTTGTCCTTGGTCATCACTCTGTTCAACATGGCTTCTGAGCCCTCCGAGTTGGCCATGGCCACCTGGTTGAACTCCACCGTGTGCTTCTGCACCAGAGTGAACCTGGGCAAGGAGGGGAGAAGCACAGTGAGCAGCTGTGACACAGTCCCTGTGGCAGTGTCCCCATCTGAAAACCATCCCTATCTGCTCCCACAGGCTCCCTCTCTTCCAAACCACCGGACACAACCCAAGAGCTGCATTTTTCTTTTGCAGTGAAAACTCTGAGAGGCAGCTCAGGGTTTGGGAAGCTTCCATCCTAATGACTGGGAGCTATTCTGAGGTTTAAGTGTGAATTTTGGAAGCTGCTGCTGCCCCTTACTTTTCTGTTTTGAAGAATATGGCGCAGCCGTCTACATGCTTTTTCTCCTGCTCCGACATGATTTTGGCACGTGACTTTGGAGAAAAGAATCCGTCGTATCCCCGTTCTTTCAGGGCTGGCAGGAAAAGGGTGAAGTATTGCTCCGTTTCCACTTCCTGCAATTGTACACAAACACCTCAGGCTAAAGAAGTGAAGGAAACCCTTCCTTGTGCCTGCCCAGGCTTGCAGGCAGAAAAGCTGCACAATCCATGTCCCTTCCTAGACCAATGGCTTGCTGGGAATGGATGTGCATTCCTGCATTTCCTGGAATCCCTCCCACAGGCAAAGCACGAGGTGTATTTTGGATAGCAGCAGACCACACCTGGTGTGTTTTACACTGGAATATGGATATACAGCTTGCATTGGGAAGACCTGGAATTTGCTATCGAGCAGGTGACTATGGTGCTCCCAAGGGAACATTTAATCCTAAAGGTAGAGGTTCATGTTTGCTGTTTCTGATGGAAAATGCAGTTATGTTTTACTACCTGAAGACTGATGATGTCTGCATCACAGTTGACGATTTCTTCCATGATTCCCTTTTTCCTGTACTCCCAATTGAGTGCCCAGGACGGGCAGTAGCCATACAGCTGCCGGGTGGCGTATTTATCACACAACACATTGTAACACATGACTGTAAATGAAGCTGCAAGGAGAGAGAGAGAAAAGGAAAGGTTGTCAGCCTCTGGAGATTGTCTCTTTGGCTTGGACAAAGCCCAACGTGGAAAAGAAATGCCCAGCATCCCATTCAAATGGCAAAAATGGTATTTACAGCACAGCCATATGGTAATTTTTCTAGTACAAATGAACAAATTGCTGTTTTCACTCTGATCCAGGAAAATGAAGCCCAAGGTAAGTTTCCCAGTGTGTCACCTTGTGAACACAGATTTACCTGAGGGCAGAATTTGGTCTCGTTCTTTTAAAGTAATCCATGGCCTTGGAGGCAGCTGCTCTGGGTGAACTGCAAAAAATTAAACCAGTGATTAATTCAGAGTTTCTATTTGTAAGTTACAGTTCCTAAGTCAAAGTGATGACTGAACAATAATGTGTTTTGCATCCCCAACTCCCCGAGTCTTCAGGGGAGGCAAAAATCAAAAAATCATTTAAATGAGTAGCTCTAGTAAGAGAAAAAATGTCATTTGTAAGATTGGTGACTATTTCTGTCTCTTCTTCTCAGATTTAGAAGCACCACCGAAATGCTCCTGCACATTGAATAATCTGATGAAGAAGGAGGGTAAATCCTGGCATGGTTCAGCCATCCCTTCTCCAAGAACCTTGCCCTGCGTCCATCATTCCTGCAGTGCCTGAACCTGGGAGACATCAAGTGGCAAAGCAGAAGGCTCAGTTACAGAACCACAAAGCAGGACTCAGGTCAGGTACTGGATGTTCTTAATGGCTTCCGTGTTTCTTGAGCTAAATTTGACATTCTGCTTGCATTCAAATGATTATTTCTGGTGGAGAGAACCAAAATGGCTTCAGCAAGGCAGACTTTGCCCTTGGCTGGTAATTGAAGGGTTTCAAACAGAACAGAGACATCATTTGGCTGTAACACAGGAGACCCCTAGACAGTACAATCAGCCTCTTCCACTGGGGGTGAGGGTGTGTTTTGGGATATGACTGGAGCCACCTGACAAAAACACTGTGTCAGGGAAGGAATATTCTCCCTGCAGTGGTTCAGAGTCTTGTTTTAACAGCAAATGCTACTTTTAAAGCCTTTTTGCACCAGATCCCTCGGGCTGTACCTGCTAGATTGTCAAGCATGTAGTTCAGTAGCTTTCGGGTTCCGTCTGGATCCTGGTAGAGGCTGAGAATATCTTGGGATAAAGGATTGCCTGTCAACAGCACAAAACAACAGCAGGGGGATCAGCTGCCTGCCTTTCTTGAGGCTTTCCACCCAAAGAAAATCTCCCAGAATGAGAACAGACAAATTAACTCAGCAGGTTAAAGGGCTTATTTCCCTGACTGCAGATTTGAAATGAGCTCCTAAGGAAGTTTAGCAGCATTAAGAAAGAGAAGCATTGTCCTCCCAACTCCCTGGTCATTTTTGCTACCAACTTAATGCTTAAAATAACCTGATAATAACCAAGGTAAGAAAACCTTGAGGTAACAGAGGAAGGTTTTGAGGCCAGCCCCCCTCAGGATTCCCAAGAACTTGTAGGAATATGGAATTGGGAAGAGCTCACCTTTCAAACCCAGGGTTTGCAGCTGGAAGAGCCGTCCAAGTTCATAAGGCAAAACCCGTAACAGATTGTTATTTAAAAGCAATTCCCTGCAGCAAATGCAAAAACACTCTGGGTGAGGATTACTGCAAAACAAACTCCTAAGGTGCTGTACACTGCTCGTCCTCAAAGAGAACACTTTTCACCCTGAATTTTATTATGGAAAGATATGCCAATCTTCCCATGTCAAAGATTCATTAGGGGGGGAAAAGCCACAAAGCCCAAGATGCAACCAGGGATGGAAACGGTCATATATCAACAATCAGTGAACCCAAAAGTAATTATTAGAACCAAAGCTCTGCACTAGCCTGGAGTTTTTCAGGATTATATGAAATAACAGGCACAGGAAACAAACTGAAACTCTCGGTCCCAATCCCACGCCAGAGATTTGCTGGGAAGTGAACCAGAGTAATTCCCCATACCTGAGAGACACCATGTTTCCTAGTTCTGCTGGTAAACTTCTGAGTTTGTTGGATGACAGATCCAGGTAAACCAGATTGTGAAGCTTGGCAATATCAGGTGGAATGCGAGTAAGGTTGTTGTCATTGAGGTGCAGAGCAGTCAGGTGTGTCAGCGACCACAGCGACGTGCTTAAGCTCCGCACTCTCCCTGGAAGAGCAAAGTAAAGAGCTTAAACACCTCTTCAGTCTGGACCCCCTCTGGATCTGGAGTGGCCTGGGCACCAGCTGTGGGAATTTAAACCCCAACCAACTCACCCGAGATCTCTAGTTCAGCCCAGTGCGACTTCTTCCCGTTGGCCACCTCTTCCGCCGACATGATGGTGTAAATTCTGCGAGGATCTGGAGGATCATATTTTTCCTTTGGCATCCCTGTTAGTCTGAAACACCATCATACTGTTACTGCACAGCATTCCTTCCTTTCTGTCCTGCCATGAGCTGACCTTTCCCAGGATAGCCTGCAACACCACAGGGTTTATGCACAATACCAGAGTTTATACCAGTTTACCAATAGCAATAGTAAATACCAGAGTTTATGCACAATAACTGTGGGGCTGCCAAGCAGTGCTCACACCTGGGCAGAATTCCAGGATGGAGAAGAGCATTTCATCCTAGGAAACTGGGGTTTCTGCAGTCACCTGCTGGGTTTCCCAGTTTATCCCCCATAACCCACAGAGTTTTTTGCTGTGTGCAGAGCCTGCAGACAAGATCAGAAGCATTCTGCTGTTCCTGGATTGCTCCCTCCTGTAGCTTCCACAGGGAAACAAGGATTGAAGGGAAGGCTCTTAACTTCAGCTTACAAAGTCCCACTTCTCCACTGCACTGCACTCTAGTTCACTGCTCAAAATTGCAGTCTGAGGGGGAATTAACTCAATTTTCCCATTAACTCTCCAGCTTTTGTGTTCTGTGCTTTTTCATCCTCGGGATCAGTCAAGACCTTTGTATTACTAATGGCCCAGGAGCCACAAAAAGACCAGGTAAAGCTCTCATTTAGCTGTTCTGGGGCACAAAGGGCTCCAGCCCAGTGCAAAATGTGAATATCAGAAGCCTAAGGAAGAGCCTGGGCACGCCAAATTCATCCAACTGTCCTGACTGTCAGACAGGAGCTCTGATGTCCCACTTAAGAACCATCCACTTGCCAGGGGACACAGGGAGAGGTTTTATTCCATGCCTCCCTCGGCTGTTGTGCTGAGCAGGACTCTGTGTGTGATTTAAAAACACCAGTTTGCTGTTGGCTGATCTTTTCCTCCCCAGACACGTAAAATCCACGAGCCTTGATTTCATACAATTCCAAAGCAGCTGCTCCAGAGGATGCAGCTCTTCCCTCATACAGACTCTCCTCCAGCCAGCTGCAGTAGCTGTGAAGCTCTTCAAACAGCTCCAACTTGAATCTGAGGTAACAAGCTGAGGATTCTGTTCAGCAAGTCCAGCTAACCCAAGATGCCACTTTTCCTCTCTGAGGGTCAAGTCCTGCAGTGTTCTCCAGCTGATGCTGACAGCCAGACCAGTGTTCTGGCACGGGGCAGGAGCTGGCAGGGCTGCCCCCTGCCAAGGGTCTCACTTACAGGGCTGCTGCTTCCTTCCCTGACCAGGGCCCAAGGGAACTGCAGGGTCATATGTGAGCCCCACATCTATTTATAGCCCCCTGTGATGTCCAGGTGAAGTCACACGGCCAGCAGAGCTATGGGATAAGAGGATTCTGTGCTCACACTGCCTGGCATGGGGCCATGAAGGGAACCAGTTACTTAAGGACAAGGGATTACACCTGGAATCCTTCTATCTTTGCTCCAGAACCCCAAAATCACAACAGCCTTTCACCCCCCCACACGAGCAGGCTGCACTTTGGGAGTGCCAAATCTCTGGTGCTTGCATTTTGCTGGATTTATCTTCGCTCTCCAACTGCTGGTGTGAAAGTGGGGAGCACTCAAACAGACTCCTCACAGCCACAAGAGCCCTATTCCACCTGCCCTTGCTGCTTCATCTGTCAGATCTCAAACTGATCTGTACCTCTACAGCACCTGGACCCAAGACACGGAAAACTTTGCTGTCCAAACCCAGGATTTGGGTGAGTGCTCTGTGATGAAGTCCTTAAAACCACGTTTCTGAGACCACCTGAGCCACCTCCTGCCCATCCACACCAGCCCAGAGATGCCTACTGAGCCCCTGACACCATCTGAAAGCTCCAGGAGTGCTCCCTGGCAGGGCACCCAAAGAAATGATGTTGAAATACAGAAGTGCTCTGCCATTGCAGAGCGATGTGTGGCCATCAGGGGCCTGCAGAGGAGTGAGCCCTGAGCTGGGAGGCAAAGGACATCACATTTTTCAGCTGTTAGTCACTTGAATATTGCTTTGAAATCGTGGTGAGTCAAACAGGCAGCAGTGTCATTGCCACAGTTACAGAAAGGGGAAAACAAACCTAAATCAAATGCACTTTTTTCTCCTCCTTCTGCATCACAGCAACATTGAGCAAGACTTGCAAGTCACCATGTGTAATTATGTTCTTAGGCAAAAAATGGATTCTGCCCAACTCCTGCCATTCCTGTCTCCCACTCTGCTTGTCCTGGAACTGAAACAATATCCAGAAATCCCAACCTGGTTTTGCTCAGTCTTCAGGGAGCTGCACTGAGTTCCCTGGATCTGTTAACTCCAAAATCCAATGTGCATCAGTGCAAATTTTGGCAGGCCTTTCTCCTAAAGGCTCCCCTTGGAAAACTTCTGAAGCTACTAAAACTTGCTCTCTGCTACTGATCCAGCCCCGATTTTGTGTAAATTAAACACAGAATCTCTTCCTCATTTTGTGTAAATTACAGAAAACCTGGAGATGAGGACATCAGTGCATTAGTAAGAACAATATTTATAAACTCTGGGGGTTCCTAATGGAACTCTGTGGGTCCAAAAAAACCCAGAGGGGACTGGCAGAGCAAGATTATTCAGTTGCAACCCTAAGTGTGGTCCTGGGTGAGCCTAACTGCTCTCTGAGGTGGATATAAAAAGGGCCAGGGGGAGGTACTGTGTTCCCACCAGTAGGTCTGTGCCTGCCTTTTCCTTGGACTTTTGGGGTTTTATGCTGTTTTATTTGCTGGGCTGTTTTTTAATGTATGTATGAGGCAGGCACGCAAATGACTATCATTTAAAGTCTGGAGAAAAGAAATGAGTACTGGAACACTACTGAAGGTGTGAGGAGTGTCAGAGAGCAAAGGCTGTGTTACTGGGTTGCAGCAGAGGCTTTAATATGAAGAAATGTTTATTGGGCAGCAAACAACAGGAACTTCTGGGTTTCAGACACACAGTCCCTTCCCCAAAGGGTGCAGAAGATGCATTTGTTAAATTACAGTGCCCATAAGGTGTTTTGTTCAAGTTGTTTGATACCTCAGTGCCTAAGAGAGGAGGCAAGTGGAGAAGAGCTGTGCCTGCCTCCTGCTGCAGCCCTGTGTTCATGGATGCTGGGCACAGCTCCACCCTCACCTGCAGCCCAGTGACATCCTTTGTGACTCTTTCCTTTTTCCCCCAGCCTCTGTACATGGGTGAGTCAAGCTGCCAAAGCATTTTGGAAGCAATCCAGCAGGCAGGCCTGAGTGGCTCTTCCTTCCTGTGAGCACAGCTGAGTGTCCATGCCCTCCCATCTGCTGATCCCTCCCAGCAATGAGCCACGCTGTTGGCTGGCAGGCGTGCACGTGTGTACCCACACGTTGTCCAAGGCTGGGCAGCTGGGCTGGAAGCTGGGAACAGCACCCTTTGGATCTCTTCATCCCCATGGCCATTTTTGTGCTTGGGAATCAGGCCTGAGTGGCTGCAAAGGCTGCTTGTCTGCACTGCTCTGCTTTTAGGGGAGTGTGACCAAAGTCTCCCCATTTTGGCCTCCCCAAGGAGAAGAGAAGCACAGCCAATACCACAAACACAAAAACTGAATTTCCTCCTCTCTGGGGCAGGAAAACCAGGTGATTGTTCAAGGGTATGGGAAGGGGATTCAAAGAGACTGGCCAATACTGGGGTATGCACAGATGTGTCAGCTTAAGGTAAACTATTTGCTATATCCCTATATACAGCACCTAGTGTGTATAAATCAGCAAGAAAATATGGGAGAATGGGGAATTTTCATGGTCTTTGGTGTGGATCTGAGCTTTCGTCATGGTGCTTTCCTGCAGGACTGTGTCCAACCATCTCTGTGTGCACTGCCTCTCCCAGGAATTCAAGGAGCACCCTGAGTCTGCCCTCCCAGGTACTGTCTTTCCAGCTGCTTAATCCAAATACCCTGACTGGGGATAGAGATTAGCAGGGAATCAAATGTAAATGCCTCATCATGTTTTTTTAATTGTAAAAACCCAAACAATTAAAAAACATGTTTGAGGAGATCTGAAAGAATCCCTGAGGGAAGTGTGACACAGAGCACAAGGAAATTCAAGTTGAGACTAGGGAAAGGTAAGAGGTAAGCAGGAACCTGCAGCTGGCAGTAAATTTAGTGGTGCTGAGGTCCTAGGGGGTTCCCAGGTTATCCCTCTGAGCCCAGAGAAGCACAGACAAGTCATAGAAGCAAACAGCAAAAGCCAAGGGGAGGAGTGGGAAGGGAGGGAACAAGCCGTATTTGATTAATTCCAGAGCCAACTGGCACTCACTTGATGGAAATGCTAATTGTCCCACTGACATACACCCACTAGTTATTCCCCTCATCTCCTCTAAATGAAGCAGTCTTTTCTTAAATCACAGGTAACACAAGCACATCCAGGTTTCCACCCTTCCTTTTCCTCCATGTCACACCCCCACTTATAGGACTAGCTGAACTATTTACTGCATGGAAATCCTACACAGCATTACACAGCTGTTTTTTATTGCTCTGCTTGGTTAAGAGTCAGTCCTCCCTCCGAAGGAACAGTTCCTCCCTGTTGGAAGCAGCCTGTTACTCTCAGGGTGTGCATGACAACTCCTGGAACCCACATCAGGTCTGCAGGTGCCTTTTACACTTGGTTCTTCCAGAGCAGCTCTTGGAGCAAGCACAGGGCAGGCTGCTCCCCAAAATAAGGCTCTGCTTACCAGAAATGCATGCAAGGGGCCACTGTAGGGCAAGAAGTGTTCCCAGCAGCCAGCCTGTAAATAAATGTCATCAGAAGCCCCCAAAGGGCTGCTTTAAGCAGTGTGCTTGTTTATTTACACAACTATCTTGCACTGTTTCAGAGAAATGACCCATTTGCAATGTTGCTCCATCCCCTGGGGAGTGCCGGGCTTCTAATGAGATCCAGGACAGAGTGGCTTAAAGGATTAGGAGCTGAAGTCACCAGGAGTCTGGGGAAGGAAGAAGCCAGTGCTGGATCAAGACAAAACACCATCCTGGGCTGTGGGCATGGCAGAGAAGCAGCCAAGGATGGCTGTAGCTCAAAGCAGGAGG